TCGCCCTCGCTGCGCGGAGCGCCGTCGCCACTTTTTCGCGGCCGCTCTCGCGGTCAGGGGCTCGCGAGGGGTCGCGCCGATGAGTTTTTTCCGGGGCGCCCCCGCTGTCGCCCTCCGACGCGGCGGGAAATGGCGGTCCGACGGGGGCTGCCGCCCGCGCCGGCATGCGCAGGATTTGCGACGGCGCTTCCGCTGCCGCGAGCTGAGCTACAAGGAGTCCGCGGGCCGCGTCGGAGCCGCAATCGCTGGGGCCTCGGCTGGCATCGGAAATTTGCGCTCAAGCCCTCGAGCGGGTTTCCGCGCTGCCTCGGCGCCTGCCTGGGCGCGCGGGAACGGGCGCCGAGGAGACAGCTGGGAAGACGGCCGCGGGGCCCCAGGGATCCTCGGTCAGCGCCGCTGTCGCTGGTGCCACCGGCACCCCTGCTGGCATCGGACTTTCGCGCTAAGGCCTTGGCGCGGGCTTCCGCGTGACAGCGGGCGGGTTCGACGTCTCCACCTGGCAGCCACTGGCAGCCTAGGCCCTGACGCCAAGGCAACGCCGCCCTTGTTTGCCTGACCGGTGGCTGTTGCCGCGGTGCTTTCCTGGGCGTGCGGGCTCAGCGAGCTGCCGCGCCGCGGGCGTCTCAATGGCCTCGCCCACTTTCGCGCTGAGCTTCGCCCTGGTGAGTGTGCCAATAGGCCATGGCAGCGGCTGCAACGGATTGCAACGGTTTAGTGCAAAGTTTTCTGGCGGCGGTTACCCCTTCCGAGGTAACCGGGAGAGGGGGATCGCCGCGGAATTCGAAGGACCCGCATCCGCGGTGATTGTTTTGGCCCTGGCGGGGCGTCGGTGGATGCAACTGGCACCCGAGATCCCGTGATCAGCCCTGTGGAGCGGAAGCGCGACAGGGACGTCCCAGTGTGATGCATCGTTGGTGATGATTTGTGCAGTGCCGTGGCCCTGGCGGGCATCGGCCGAGGCCGTGGGCGCTGCTGACTCACGGCTGGTGGCTGCCGAGTGCTTCTGAAACTGATACGGCGTGATGTAGCTGATCTTGTTCTCGAGCAGTGTCCTCGGTTCGCCCCTATGCTTGCGCTAGTCGGAGCGGCGTTTTTTTTTGTTTCTCTCTCTCTCTCTCATATATATATATATATAATGCATTGTCAAACTCGCGTTGGCGCCTGTGAGCAAAATCGCTGCAAGCATCGACTGCTCGGGCGACGCCATCACTGCTCCGGAACGCAGCGGTTTCCTTCTCGGCTAAGGTTGGTATCTGGCTTATTTGCGAAGGATGCTTTGAAGCGGCCCTTGTCTAATGAGTTGGGCTGCGGCGGTATATGAAGCGCACGGCGAAGGCTCTCTGGAAGCATTTGCGGCGCGCGGGAAACATATCGCCAATATCCGCCGGCCCCCTTGCGGGGCCACCAGGCTGCGAGGGTGAGGATTGCAGCTCCCTCTTCCAGTTGCAGCTTCCATCTTTCCACTGCTACAATCCTGTTTTCTGCTTCCTCACTGTTAATTGTTGCTCAACAAGCGAGAACCCACTGTTTTTTCCACGCCCAGATCGCGTTGTCTGAATTCCTGGGGGGGGCGTGGGACACGTAAAAATACATGATGCTCGCGTCCCCGAGGCCATGATCTCTAGTAAATTACACCACGCTCGCGTCCCCGAAGCCATATACCCTTGTAGATTATGCCATTTATGTAATAGTACTGTCCCCGAAGCCATGCACCTTCATGAATTATGCAACGCTCGCGCCCCCGAGACCATAAACCCACGCAAATTACATAATAGTTGCGCCACCGAGCTCATGAACCTTAGAAAATTACATAATATTCGCACCCCCGAAACCATGAACCTTTTTGTGAATTACGCCACACTTGCGCCCCCGAAGCCAATAATTTTCGCCAATCACACAATACTCGCGTCTCCGAAGCCATCAACCCTTGTAGTTTATGCGATATTTGCGCACCCGAGGCTGGAGACCTGTGTAAAGTATGTCATAGTTGCGCCCCCGAGGCCAAACCCTCGTCAGTTACGCAATATTCGCATCCCCGAAGCCATTAAACATGGTAAATGACCTAATGTTCGCGTCACCCAAGGCGTAAACCCTTGAAGATTAAGTTTGGCCCTCGCGTGAAGACCCGACATTGCTTCGCCAGACATCCCAACACAGCTCTGGCAAGTTCCATTCTAAGAGAGGGCGGCCGGCGGCATGGGGGCGAAACCTTTACGGATATCAAGACCTGGGTTGTGTCCAGCTCTCGCGAAGCGGGCAAGGATGCGGGGCGCTTGGCGTCTGGGCCTGCCCTCCGCAAAGCTCTTGAACCGAGACTAGGAGAGGAGGTGAAAGAGAGAGAGAGAAGCAAGGTTGGGATGAGAGAACAACTGAAAGAGCAGTCATCGCCTCGCTGTTGCGGCGTGGCCAAGGCGCTTCAGGGAACGAGAGCTCGTCGTTCTCGTCCTTGTCCTCGTCCTCGTCCTCGTCAATGTCCTCGTCGTCGTCCTCGTCGTCGTCCTCGTCGTCGTCGTCCTCGTTGTCGTCGTCCTCCACCCCCTCCCCATTCCATCTGGGGGGGGGGGACCTTGAGGCCCCTCCCCTCTGGGGGTGGTTTGGGGATTTTAGCCTGGGGCCTTCCTCCCCAGACCCCTACAATCAGGTCGGGCATGTCCCCCTACAGGCGAATTTTGAACGAAACAAAACACTATAAAAGAGTAAAACAAAACACATGTAATGAAAAAAGTCCCCAGACTAGTTTCGACCATGTTTGAACATTCCTCCTGAAGAGGGGCATGCCCGACTTAACCTTAACAGACGCCCCCCTCCCCCGAAGAAGCAGTCGGCGACCCGCCCGGAAACCCCGAAGGAAGGCAAAACGAAAACCCCTCTTGGCAGAGGGCGGAAGAACCACGCGCCCAATCGTCACCCCTCCACAAGAGGCCGTTTGGGAAACACGTCTGTAGAAAAAAAACAGACGTCATATCCGAGGAGAACAGTTCTCGTGTTGGGAAGAAGGGGTTGGGAGGATGAAGGGCATGAGCAATATCATCCGGATGCAATGAACGATACCTCCGGCCGCCTACGAGTGATGATACCCTCAATTCTCCCAACCCCATCCTCCAACCCGATAGTATTTGTCGTCCTGAACTTCTGACATCCGACGATGAGATGATGAGATTGCGCCAGTCCAGGGCCCGGTGTCCTCCCGACACCTTCTCGGGGGCGCAGCTTTTCGCTCTGGGCGCATGTTCGATGGCTCGGCGGTCGGGAAACGGCCCCTTCCGAAGGCCGAAGTGAAGGAACAAACATGCTTCAAATTTCTGGGAATCTGAACACTTTGACCGCCCGAGACTAGTACGAACAACTTGGTACGACGCCCAACGGCGCGACGGTTGTCCAAACCTGGCAGCGGCCGCAGATGGGCAGGCGACGTGTGCCTCAAGTAACGCCCACGGCGACTCCGACAGCAAGTCCTGTCCAACATGGTTAAGGGCTGTTGTCAGTCTTCGCCCCCATTCTTTCCTGAGGGGTACCCCGAGGGGCAGCGTGAGGGGGGGACCAGCTCTAGAGGGGGGGGGGCTCCGGCGGGGGGAGGGAGACGGGGGAAACCGACTTGGAATTGGCGGCGAGCCCAAGGGGAGAGTGAGGAGGACAGGCCTTATCACAAGGCGGCGAGGCTTCCCAGGAGCCCTCGCGCCTTCTGAGAAGTTCTCTGTGTACTCGGAGAAGGCTTAGAAGACTTCTCAAAAGGCTCGAGGGCTTCTGAGAAGCCCCGCCGCCTTCTGAGAAGGCCTGCCCCCTCTTCCTTCCCCCCTGGGCTCACCGCCAATAGAATCGGCGATACGTCGCCAATAAATCGGCGATAGGCCCCCGATAACGAAACCGCGCAGTCCTGGGCGACGTGAGCAATCGAACCCCCCCCTGAAATGTTTTCTTGTAAATGCTTTCAACCGTCGTTGCACGAAGAGTAACGCCTGGACACGTCGGAGGGGTGCGCTGCCACTGCCATCGTATGCGAGTGAACACCACCATCTGCGGGGGGGGGTCCAGGCCCCCACCCCCCCTACATGCGATCGTTAAGTTACGAGGGGGGTGGGCGGGTAACGACTGGTACCGCGGGTTCGTGTCGTGCCGATCCCGGCGCTTATTCCTCGGAAGTTGTTCGACCTTGAACTATCGGCCATTTCCAAAACTTCAGATCGTCTGAACCACCCTGGTGACATCGAGCATCGAATTGAAGCGAACGGACGGGCCGCGGCAGCGTGGCAGGCCGAGACAAAGTAAGAGCCACATGGTCATGAAGAATTGTGTGTCTGCTGGCTCACGCGAGCGCGTTGCTGCTTTCTTCCGCCAGGATGACGGAGCAGCGCGCGCGTGGAAACAGCAAGTTCGTGCAAGGCATTTGAGTGCGGAGCTGTGGCCCTCCTCTCTCCTCTCTCCTTCTTCTCCTCCTCATCTTTCCTGTGTTTAACACGTGCAGCCGTTGCCAATACAGCATGCCTCTCTAATGAACAGTTTGGCTGCTCACTGTCCCACGCTGCTCGTGCGCCGTCCGGACGCAAGGCTTCTGAACTGAACTGAATCTGGGTCGCCGGCGGCGTTCAACGTTGAGGGCTGGTGGCGCCGACGCCAGTCGACACGACGCGACCCTGCCGTACGCACCAGAGGATAAAAAACATTCTCGCATCGGCGACGAATGGGCGATTGGGGCCGATGCATCCCACCCTGAGCCTATCCTTCTCTAACGTTGCCCCTGATTTGTGCGACCCGAATGATGCTCGTCGTCTGGTCTTCGGGTCACAACTCGGATCTCTGGCCGCCGATCGATTCGGTTCGGGCACTTCCGGAACACCCTCGGCGAGGCGCAGCCGCTCGAAAGCACCCCGAGGTTGGAAAACCGCCGCGGGCCGGGCCGACGAACGTCCTAAAGCCTCGGACCTGAATCCCTGACTGCTGTGCACGCTTCGATCACCCCGAGGTGTGACGTGGCCGACCGGTGGAGCGCGCGAAGGGCTGGCCTCGCGGCTTCCGTCCGTGCGCCGAACTTCCACGGTCTCGGGCCGCCGCTGGAAGCCGGGCTGCAGGTTGGCGGCGCGCACGGGGGGGCGGGGGCGAACCACAACCCTCGACACAGCGAGCCTCAAAAACTGTCGACAAGGCCCTGCAACGCCGCGCCCTCTTTCGCTCCCCCCCGGCTGGCATTCCCCGTGATTCCGTGCCCGCTTCGATGGCCCCGAGGTGGGACAAGGCCGCCCAGTGGAGCGCGCGAAGGGCCAGGAGCTAGGAGGCAACTGCTGGGCTGCGAGGCGGGGAACGTTCCCCATCCACTGCCTGTGGAGCCGCGTTCTGGGACCTCGGCGGGCGTATACATATATATATATATATATATATGTGTATATATACATATATAGATATATGTATACACATATACATATACATGCACATCTATGCATACAGATACATGCATTCACATGCATATGCATGCGCATGTACATGTACATACGCACTAGCATGTACATATACATACGCACATACAAACATACACATACACATGCATGCACACACATGTATACCTATAACCATATATATATGTATGTATATATACACATACATATACAAATGCACATACATGTTCATATGAATAAGCCTAGGTGTGGACTGCTACGTAGACGTATGATGCACAAACACATACCCATGCATACGCATGCACACATACATATACATATACATACGCAAATGCATACACGTATACGCATACATGTACAACTACACATGCGTACACATATACGTTTCCCTATCCGTATACACGTTTATATGCATGCAGCTGTATGCACGCATATCTATACATACACACATGTGTATGCATATGCGCTTACATACATACATATGAAACTACAGTTACACATACATGTACTGTGTATACACACATCTACACATGCACGTACATATACATATACATATGCACATACAACGCATACACATACACACAGTTAGACATCCATACACATTACATAGACACTTACATGTACACTTACATACACATATACATGTACATATACATGCACGCGTAAACATATAAACATATATATATATATACACGCACATACGCATATCCCTAGCTATAAACTGTTATCGGGCCGGGGACCCCAAACAGGCCCCCCCCCAGAACGAATTTCGGATTCCCTGGGCTGCTCGGAACCCCACCCGGTCTTCTGGCCTTCTCGAAGGGTCCACCAAGGCCTCCAATATTGTCCAAGATAGCTCGTCGACAGCTCCAAAAGCACACCAAGACGCCCAAGAGGCGTCCAAAACGCACCCACACACGTCCACGAGGCCTCCGGATTGAGCCCACATATCTTAAAATCGTCCAGTCCCCTCGGGTTTTCGAAGGATTTCGGCGTCCTCGCCTTCTCGCGCTGCCACGCTCCAAGACGGCCCAAGAAATGCTGAAAACCGCCCCAAGAGCGGCTCAACACGACCCACGCAGACTTCAAGACGGCCCATGAAGCCCCCATGAAGGCCCCCAAAAGGCTCCCACGAAAGCCTAGACGGCGCAAGAGAAGGCCAAGACGGCCTTCAACACGACCAAAACGGGCCAAGACAGCCTCAAGAAGGCTCCAAAAAAGCCAAGGAAAGGGAACACGAACTCACATTTCGAACCTACCGCCTCAGAATCGCCCCAGGATCTTCCCAGGGGCTCCCCCTGCGCCACCGCGACGCCCCAAGAGGCCCTGAGTTTTGCCTCTTGGGCCCTCTTGGGAGTGCTCTTGGAGGCCTCTTGGGGCGTCTTGGAGGTCTTTTGGGCCATCCGAAGGCCATCTTTGGCGTCTTGGAGCGATCACCCGGCGTCTCGGATCCCTCTTGGACCGTACTCGGGCCCTCTGAGACGATCCTGAAAACCTTGAAGACGGGCCCCAGGAGTTCTGGCATCCTTGAGCAGCAGTGCCTGGGGTACTTTTGGACCGGGCATCCCCAGGGGCCGCCACGCGCGCGCGAACTAGAAACTCTATAACCTGTCATTGGAGCTCTTAGCACGCCTCTGGCCCGTTGGGTAAGCGAATTTACCGTTACTCCCCGCGCGCGCAGGCGCGTGCACATGTGTGCACATGCACACATGCACGCATGCGTGTACACGTAGACATATACACATAGTCATGAAACATAGGTATACGCATCCTTAGTTCAACGTTATATATACAGCAGCATGCAAACACACGTATATACACATGTTTATATATATAGCGCACTAGCCAGAGATATGTATGAGGACAATGTGCATGCACGTGCGCGTGCACATATGCATGCGCATACTCATGCGCAAATGTACACACGCACGCACGCCGCCTGCGCGCGAAACACCAAGGACCGAGGTGTATGGCGCGAAGCGCCAATGCAGTCTTGTATATGTGTAAATGCATGTATATATACATATATATATATATATATATATATGTATGTGGTCGCCCCCTTGTGATCCTCCTCAGCTTATTCGCGGCCTTTACGTCCACTCGGACGCACTCGGGGGCGTGGGAAAGCGGAAGGGCGGGAGGGCGGGAGAGCGGGAGAGCGGGAGAGCTGGAGAGCGGGAGAGCGGGGGAGCGGGAGAGCGGGAGAGTTGGAGAGCGGGCGAGCGGGGGGGGCCAGAGGGGGGTTGTGGTGGTGTCGGGCTATTGCAAATTGCACGTTGATCATCTCCATCGTTCTCCCGTTCTCCCTCTCCCGCTCTCCCGCTCTCCCGCTCTCTCCCCTCCAAACCCGTCCTCTCTCCGCTCCAAGCCGGGGGAAAAGGATGAGGAGCGTAATGCACTTGATTAGGGAGGAGGAGGAGCAGGAGCAGGAGCAGGAGGAGGATGAGGAGGAGGGGGAGGAGGAGAAGGAGGAGGAGGAGGAGTGCGGGGGATGATGGAGAGGATGATGAGGAGGAAATGGAGGATGCTTGGCATTGCTCTGAATTGCTTGGCTCGACTTGGCATTGCTCTGCATTGCCAAGTATTAACTGGCATTGCTGTGCGTGGCACTGATTTCAGCGGCTTTGCTTTGCTTGGAAATACGTTCCTTTGCCTTGCGTTGCTTTGTCTTGTTTTGCGTTGGTTGGCATTGTTTTGTTCGGCATTGCTTGGCAATGCTCGACTTTGCCAGGCATTGCTTGTCAATGGTATGCATTGCTGCAGTGCTTGGCATTGCATTGTATTGCGGGCATTGCTGGGCATTGCGTTGCTTGGTAATGCTTGACATTGCCGAGCAATGCCTGGCATTGGGTTGCGTTGCTTGGCATTGCATTGCGGCAGTGCTTGACATTGCATTGCATTGCATTGCATTGCATTGCGGGCATTGCTAGGCATTGCGTTGCTAGGCACTGCTTAGCATTGCCAAACAATGCTTGGTATTGAGCTACGTTGCTTGGCATTGCATTGCTTCGCTTTGATTGGCATTGCCTTGCATGGCGTTGCACTGCTTTGCTCCGTATTGATTTCCATTGGGTTGCATTGCTGGGCACTGCTTTGCCTTGTCTTGCATGGCTTTGCGTTGCTTTGTCCTTCTTCACAATGTTTCGCCTTGCCTTGCTTAGCATTGCTTGGCATATGCTTGACATTGCGTTGAACTGCGTGATATAATTGTCATTGATTTGCTTGGCATTCCTTGGCATTGCCTGGCATTGCTTGGCATTGCTCGACATTGCATGGCATTGCGTTTCATTGCCATTGCTGTGCGATGATGCGTTGTGTTGTGTTGCGTTGTCCCGCATTGCTTTACTTTGAACTGTTTGGGAGTGCATTGCATTGCATTGCATTGCATTGCATTGCCTCGCATCGATTTCCACTGCCTTGCGTTGCCTGGCCTTGTTTTGCACAGTCGTGCATCACTGTTCATTGCGTTGCTTCGCCTCAGTTTCCATTGAATTGTTTTGTTCGGCAGGAAATGTACACTGGCTTGCATTCCTTGGCAGTGCTTTGCGTTGGTTGACATTGCTGTGATTGGCGCGCATTACATTGCTTGTCACTGCTTCATTGCGTCTCAACTCTTGGCATTGCGGCATTGCTTGGCATTGATTTGCTGGCATTACTTGTCGCTGCGCTGATGTGTATTGTTTGGCATTAGCTAGCAGTTCTTGGCATTGTCGTGTGTGGCTTGGCAATGCCTCAATGTGTTTTGTTTACCGTTGTTGTAATGTTATGTTTGGCATTGAAGTATGTTGATTTGCTTTGCTTGGCATTGATTTGCAATACCTTTGCTAAGCTTCGCATTACGTTCCGTTGCTGCTCTTGATGCCAATTGGCATTGCTTGGACTTGTTTGACATTGCATTGAGTTGGGTGCATTGCACGGCGTTGCGGTGCTTGGCATTCCCTGGCAGTGCTTGGCATCGCCTGACAGTGCTGTGCGTTGCTGGACATTGCTTTGCATTGCTGTGGGTTGCTTTGAACTCAAACATGTCAAGCGAAGCACAGCAATGCAAAACCATGCAGGGAAATGCAGAGCAATGCCCAGCAAACCAAGCAAACCAATGACCATCCTACCAAGCAAACCAATGCCGAACAACTTAAATAACAATAAAGTCAAGCAACGCAATGCAATTGGAAACATTCCACAGCAACGCAAAGCAATGCCAACCAATGTCAAACACTGCAAAACTATGTCAGACAAGGCCAAGCGATGCCAAGCAATGCCAAGCAATGCCAAGCGATGCCTGGGAATGCGAAGCAACGCAACGCGACGCAATGCATCCAATTCAATGCACTGCCACGCAATTCCAAGCAATTTCAAGTAATGCCGAACAATGCCAAACGATGTCAAGCAAGGGAACTGAACGCAATGCGAAGCATTGCAAAGGAACTGCAAATCAATGCCAAGCAAAGCACGGCAACATAATTCAATGCCAAACAAACCAATGCAATGCAACAGCGCCAAGCAAAGAACAGCAAGACAATGCCAAGCAACGCAAGACAATGCCAACACTGCTAGACAAGGTCATGTACTGGTCGATACAGGAACGCCTTCGTTCACACTCCAATCTAGCTGGCATGTGAAGGAAAACACAGGGAAGGTGAATCACAGAAAGGGGGGCGAGCATATACATATGTATATATATATATATATATATATATATATATATATATATAGATGTCCATATCCATATCCATTTCCACCGCCTGCCGAGGTCGCCGAAGATCGAACCCCCAGGCGATGGTTGGGGTTCAATCCCCGCCTCGGATGGGACGTCTTCGTAAGAACGATTAAAGGCTATTATCGGGGAGACGTACGACTCGGACTTGGGGGACTCTGTTTGGCCTCACGGGGCCGTTAAAAAAATGACGAGACCCAATTCAAAATTTGACGCGAACTCCCACTGG